GGGGGGGCTTCATTCACTTTCCCGTGCTCTCTCTCTCCAGCTTCAAGACCACAAGCTCCAACAGTCGCATGCCTCTGCAAATAGGTTCTCATCTTGAAACCGTATTCCTTTGTTTAGACTCGGGGCCAAAGGATCCCAGGCCTAGGCACCCCTGAGTTTTGCTAACGCTTGCCAGAGAAAGGCCTGAAATAGCGTCACATCTCAGGGCACTCTTTCCACGTTCCTTTCCAATTAAGCTTCCTGTATAGCTGCCTCAGCTCCTTCTTCTCTTAGAACACTCCAGAGAACTGGAAATAACGTAATCACTTCTGTCCCCACAAGAACCGGGAACACAGCCGTGAAAACGCAACACAAGGGCTGATGTCACTGGATCTTTCTCGCTGTGATCACGCTTTACAACAGCCTGAGGAAAGAGCTGCAAAATGAAATGCAGGTAAAGCCCCTTCACCAATCACTCGGAGCTCCCAACGCTGCTCTCCAGACTCCCCTCTGTAAATATTCTTTACGACGGCACCAGGCTGACGCGAACAATTATTTCGACCCTGGGGTAGAGACTCAATTTAAAAAGTAAAGTCCATGAGGGGCGCCTGGATGGCTCAGCTGGTTCAACGTCCGACTCGTGCTTTTGGCTCAGGTCGTGATCTCGCGGTTCATGAGATGGAGCCCCGGGTCGGGCCCTGTGCTGACGACGCGGAGCCTGCTTGGGACTCTGTCTCCCCCCTTCGCTGCCCTTCCCCCCACCTCAAAATACAGAAATCCACTTTAAAAAACAAAACAAAACCAAGCAAAACCCATCAGAGGTCAATATCATCAGAATATCTACCAAGTTAATCCTGTTCACCCGCGGGAAAGACAAAAGACGCTGGAAACAAGATGGCAACCCAAGCCGTGGTTTGCTGGGCCCATGTCCTACTTGATCGTACTGATGGGCGTGCCCCGGGCCACACGGGCTCCGACACCCTACCCCTCCTCTCGTTGGGACGCTTTCCGATGAACAACAAGGCTTTGCAGGAAGGATACACCCCCAGGAAGTACTGTTACTACGTAACGCGGTTACCGTGGGCATTCCTTAGCTTAAAACTCTGTCCGGGAACGTGCCATTCTCTTTCATCACCCCTGTGTATTACGTGACACGTACAGGACACTCCCTTTAGAACGAAGGCAGGAGGCGGGCACCTGGGGAGCTCAGGAGGCTAAGCGTCCGACTCTCGGTTTCGGCTCAGGTCATGATCTCACCGGTTCGTGAGATCGGGCCCCGCATCAGGCCCTGCGCCGACAGTGTGGAGCCTGCTTGGGATTCTCTCTCCCTCTCTCTCTCTCTCCGCCTCTCCCCCACTCGTGCACGGGCTCTCTCTCTCTCTCTCAGAATAAATAAATCTTCTAAACAGACAAACAAATAAAATGA